AACAAGCAATGCTACCCTTTTACTTTTTGAAATGTAATTTATAAGGTTAAATGCTAAATTTGGTCCCTCAACTTTAGTGAGTTGCACATTTTTTATCCCTCAACAATTTTTTGCACTTTTTTGATCCCTCAACTATACAAAATGCACTCCGTTAGTCTTTCTGTCAATTTACTCGGCCACATGGCATTTTTTATTTTTTATTTTTTATGACATGGCGGGGACAACTTAAAAAAGTGTTGATCTGGATTTTTTTTTATGACATGTCATCTTCCCGCACCAAAGCCCCTCCAATGAATCCCACGTTGCTTGCAAACCACCAATAAAGAAAGATCTATGAACCCTAGAATGGCCTCTCATCTTCACTCTCTGCAAAATCAATCTAACTCATATCTTCTCATTTTCTGAATGCTTTCTCATCTCCACTCCATCTGCAAAATTGATCTTAACCCATTTCTTCTTCTTCTTTGAATGCTCTCTCATCTCCACTCCATCTACAAAACCGATCTTAACCCATTTCTTCTTCTTCTCTTTTCTCGGGAGAACTTGAGAAATTGACCAAATGCAGGGAATTCGTGATGAGATTTGCTCGAGTTGGGTTGCCTCTACTGCTAGTGGGGTGAGTCCTTACAAAATAATATGTCTATTAACCCTAGAATGCTCCAAAGGAGAATTTGGAATTCTCTGTCATTAAGCCCAACTACTACGTTTCATTAAAGCCTCAAACCTATCAGATCTTATCAAATCAAATTAACCCTTCAATAAACAATATCAATCAAACTCTAATCAAATTCCAACAAAAATACAATCAAACTCTAATCAAATTGCAACAAAAATCCAATCAAATTGTAAATCAACTCCCAAATTTATTAACAACTGGGAATGGAAATCGAAAGAAGAATGAAAAAACATGAACCTAGCGTCAAAACAACAAGGCTAGTTTGTGCAACCAACAAGGCCAGGTTCCTTTGAGCCCAACTAATCTGGGTTTCGACGAAACTAGCAAGGCTGGTTCGCACTACCAGCAAGGCTGGGTTCATCAGAACCAAGCCGATCTGTGTTTCGATGAACCCAGCCTTCAACAAAACTAACGAGGCTGGTTCACGCGACCAGCGAGGCTGGGTTCATCGAAACCTAGTAGATCTGGGTTTCATCGGAACCCAGCCTATTTCCACCGACCGAGGGTAAGGAAGGAAGAAAGAAAGAGAAAGAAATAAGGGGAAGAAGAGGGATTGGGAGGGTGAGGGTAATGAGGTAATTTTATTTGTTTTTAATTAAAATATAAATATTAATCTACATGGCATTTTTATTTATTTATATAACATAATTATAATATATATTATTGCCACATCATTAAAAAAATTAAAAGACAATGCCACATGAAATTATTTAACTGCCACATCATACTTAACTGATGGAGGGACCAAAACTGTGCAATTTTTAGAGTCGAGGGATCAAAATATGCAAAAAATTGTTGAGGGACCAAAAATGTACATTTCATAAAGTTGAGGGACTAAATTTAACATTTAACCAATTTATAAAGATACGGACTGTAACATGAATCATAAATCCATTGTTAAAGATTAGTAGAATGACAACATTATGCATCAAGAGCATATGCTTTTCTTTTGATTTCACTAGACCAAATTACTGAATTAGCATCTTTGGCAAGGAGCCAGTTGTGTTGGGATTTTTCTTATGGCCACTATAGGAAAATATCACGGAGTAGAATAAGGAAATCAATCTCTACACTGTCATTGCAAAGTTATAACAATATATATATATTTTCCTTGTATAGTAGCATCTTTCTAGGCTCCATTATTGGTGCCAATTTGTATATACGATTCACATCCACAATAATGAAAATTCAATGCAATTAGCACACATCATTGCTCCATACTTTGTTTTCCTCATGGTATCAGAGCAAGGGAGTTTGAATTGACAGCAAGGTTTTGCTGCAACACTTGGTTAGAACAACAAGTTTTTGCTGCCTTGAGGAATCAATGATGTCAGACAACGATCAAGCAAAAAAGGATTTGGGCGAACAAAGGGAGACAAGGCTGTCCTCAAAACAACAGATCTGGACTCACCTTATTATCTTCATCCCAGTGATGATCCTGGCAGGGTTCTAGTCACATCTCCTTTAATAGGAGAAAACTTCCACACATGGAGAAGAGCGATGCAGAATGCTCTATATGCAAAGAACAAAATTGGGTTCGTTGATGGAACTCTTAAGAAGCCAAGTGCAGATTGTCCAAAGTTTTAGGCTTGGACAAAGTGCAACTCCATGATATTGTCATGGATATTTAATGCACTCGCAAGGGAATTGCATGACAATGTGGCTTATATTGAGAGTGCAACAGAGGTCTGGGAAGATTTGAAGGAACATTTCTCACAGGGAAACACATCCCGGATATATGAACTGAAGCTCGAGCTCGCAACAACCACTCAACAAACGAGATTTGTGGCAGCTTATTTTACAAAAGGCAAAAATATGATATAAACACTCAAACTTGCACTAAATTCACAATTTCAAACCTAAATTTCAATTACACTTAATTAAGGCCCCAAACTACATGGAATTCTCAAATAAAGTCCAAATTGTATGGAATATTCTCTTGTCAACAAAGATCCTGGATACCCATTAATAGTCCGTCACTCTCTCAACCCATTGGATCATAACATGGAAAAACATGCTAACTTGTCATTGCCACATGGATGCCACATGGATATCAAGGTGGGTCCTAGTTGATTTTGAGGGAAATCAAGCTAAGGAGAATCCATGTGGCACCATGTGGCATCCACGTGGAAATGACACATCAACATGTTTTCCATGTTGGCAATCCAGTTGGTTGAATAGTTAACGACATCCAAGACATTTGATGGTAAGAGAATATTCTATCCAATTGGGATCTTATTGGAGAATTTCATATAATTCAGAACCTAAATTGAGCACAATTGAAGTTTAGGTCTGAAATTAAGAATTTTATATAAGTTTGAGACCTTTTTCCATATTTTTGCCTTTACAAAGTTGAAACCTATTTAGGATGAGTTGCAGGCTCATGAACATGTGCCAACATGTAGTTGTGGTTTTAGTTGTCGTGAAACAAAGGAGTTTACAAAGGCACGAGAGACTAAGAAGGTTCATCAATTTCTCATGGGCTTGAATGTGAATTTTTCTACCATGCGTTCATAGATCTTGAATATGGAACCATTACCATCTCTCAACAAGGTTTATTCAATGGCCACAAAAGAAGAAAAACAACAAATGGTGTCTGCATCTAGAAGTACAATCATAAAGGCTTTAGCAGCAAAGACAAGTTATAACTGGAAATTGAGCACATCAAGGAAACCATGCTGTGATAACTACAAAAAAATAGGCCACACAAAGGAAAGATGCTATGAAATAATAGGCTATCTAGTGGGTTGGAAACTAGGACAAATGAAGATGAAGGGTAAGAGGGAGCAACAAAAATATTAGAACACAGATAAGGATGTGATTTTTGTAGCAAATGCATCACTTGAGCCACAAATGACTAGAGGTCAATTGGATCAATCGCCAATTGGTTTTAGGTTGAATGCAAGCCTTATGTAGAGCCCACATGCACAATTTTCATAGCCCAACTTCTGATTCTGCTACCTTGATCCAATGGCCACAAAGAGAGGGACGTGCTCCACAGCATCTTGATGACACTGTCTGCACCATGCCCACATCCTTTCAACCCACAAAAGCTCCATTACAGTTAACCAACTCAAGTATGTCATACCCTCTATCTAACTGTGTCTCATATAATTCTTTTTCACTCCCTCATCGAACCTATCTTGCAGCCATATCTTCTATAGATGAGCCCAAAACATTTTCTCAAGCCATCAAACATGAAAAATGGTGAGGAGCAATGAGGAATGAGATCAGTGCACTTGAGAAGAATGGTACTTGGACAATTGAGACATTACCTTCAGGGAAACGTGTAATTGATTCAAAGTGGGTATATAAGGTTAAATTCAAACCAAATGGGACAATTGAATGGTATAAGGCCAGGTTGGTGGCTAAGGGCTTCACACAAATTGAAGTACTAGACTTCCATGAAACCTTTGCTCCTGTTGCAAAGATGGTAACAATGAGAGTGTTGCTTGCTCTTGCATCCATTAAACATTGGGAATTACACCAATTAGATGTGAATAATGCCTTCTTAAAGGTGATTTACATGAAGAAGTATATACGAAGATACCACAAGGATTTGGTTGCAAACAAAACAATAAAGTCTGCGTATTGCACAAATCTCTACATGGTCTATGGTAGGCTTCAAGAAACTAGTTTGAAAAGTTCACAAATTCTCTTTTGGCAGTTGGTTTTTATCAATCAAAAGCATATTACTCTTTATTTACTTATACTACTGATAATAAGTTTGTTGCAGTTTTAATCTATGTACATGACATAGTGATTACAAGCAATGACGGTGAGAAAATTGCAGCTCTTAAAGGTTATCTACATAGAGAGTTTTCCATAAAAGATTTAGGCCTTTTGAAGTACTTTCTTGGTGTTGAGGTCGCTCGAATAGTTGAAGCCATCGTTTTAAGTCAACAAAAATATTCTCTTGATATCCTTACAAAGGTAGGATTGCTTGGAGTGAAACCTAGTCATTTTCCTTTAGACCAAAATCATCAACTTGCACTGGCTTCTAGACCTATGGCATCTAATCCTTCACAATATAGGAGATTGGTTGAGAGACTACTTTATTTAAGAATCACAAAACAAAATATTTGTTATTCTGTGAGTATTTTAGCCCAATTCATGCAAAATCCCAAGCGAGAACATTTTAAGGTAGCCATGAAGGTCCTGCATTACATTAAGAAATCACCGAGGTAGGGAATCTTATTATCTTCTTCAAGCAAGTTGCAATTGGTGGCATATTGCGATGTTGGCTGGGCAAGTTGCAATTGGTGGCATATTGCGATGTTGGCTGGGCAAGTTGCCCACATACACGACACTTAACCATATGGTATGTACTATATTTGCCTTGGGTGCTCACCAGTCTCTTAAAAGTCAAAGAAGCAATCAACAGTTTCATGCTCCTCTACTAAAGTAGAGTACAGGGCTATGGCTTCAACAATAAGTGAGCCTACTTGATTGAAATCTTTGCTTTTCAATCTCGGCATAAACCATTCAAGACCAATGACTATCTTTTGTGACAATCAAGCTGCCCTACACATTATAAACAATCCTGTATTCCATGAACGAACTAAACACATTGAAATAGATTTTCATTTTGTTCGAGAGCGTATTTAGAAGCAAGAATTGATCACAGCTCATGTCTCCTCTCATCATCAACCAACGAACCTTTTCACAAAAGCCTTAGGTTGTGAGCACCTTGCTTTTCTGCTATCCAAGTTGGGCATTCAAGATCTTAATGCACCAACTTGAGGGGTAGTATAAGAGAATATCACGGAGTAGAATAAGGAAATCAATCTTTGCACTATCATTGCAGAGTTATAACAGTGTATATATATATATTTTTTCCTTATACAGTAACATCTTTCTAGGCTCCATTACTGGTGCCAATTTGTATATATGATTAACATCCACAATAATGAAAATTCAATGCGATTAGTATAGATCGTTGCTTCTTACTCTATTTTTCTCAGCCACCTCTATGATTTATTGCATCATCGATGACCTGCAAAAGAAAAAAGCATGAGCATGATGAGGTGGACCGATCAATGATCAAAACTAATGCATTTTCCACCTAATTAATTAATATAAATAAGCAAACATCTCTCTTGATGGACGAGAGTGATATCATTCAATAATTTGCTATACACTTTGGCATATCTAGTGGCGGAGCCAAGAATTTTAGTCAGAGGCTCGACTTTTCAAGTCTTAAAATAATGCATTGTAATTTTAAAAACTTACTTTTATATCATAAATTAAAATAATACTTGATGAATTTTCATGTCACGAAATATATCTATAATAGAGTCTATAGTAAATGACTGAACTATTTCCTTTTCAATATAAACAATCAAAGAGTTTGAAAGGAATTCATCCTCTATTTTGCTACGAAGTCTCATTTTCACAATTTTAATGATAGAAAATGCTCTTTCTATTGTTGTTGTAGAAATTGGAAGACTAAACACTAAAGTAATTAATTTGTAAATGAGACTATAGATCTCTAATTTTCTTATCTCTACAAGTCATTTACATAGCTCAAAATATTTGACAAATTCTGAAAACCCTGATCACAACTCGTTTTAATTTCATAATGTTGAAGCTCTGATCTCAAATGAAGTTTCTCCATCTCTCAAATGGAGGTACGAATTGACAACATAAAACTTTTAAGCACTTAATTTGTTATCAAGATTCATAAAATAGTATATAAGTATGTAGTGGTGGAGCACTTAATTCTCTAAGTTATTAGTTATCTCTGATTCTTTAGTGGAAGAGATTTTCCACCTCCACAGGTGAGGTTGGTAAATGTGAAATACGGCACATCCTATCTCTTCACCTTACCACTTTCTACAATCAAACAGTTTTTTTCCAGTTTTACAAGCTAATTACCCTTTATACTAGTTTGTCTTCCTTTTATACTAATTTATCTTTTTATTGCTTTTCTCTATATGACTATATCCAAGGTTTTTCCTTTTATTGGGTTCATATATGTTTCCTTTATCGATCTATACTTTCTTCTTCTTCTTCTTTTCAATTTTTTTACTCTGATCCAATTATATTCCGTATAACTTTAATATAACTTCAATATTATCATAATATTCAATTTTATTTGTAATCTCAATAACTCTAAATCTTAAAAGAAAATTATATAATTTTTTGTGATAATAAAAAATCAATAAGTTTCATTATTTAAATATTACTCCCTCCATACTATAATGATATATTTTTTGTTTTATCTTCAAACAAAAGCTTTGAAAACAATTTCTATCTTTACCTATTTTATACTTAAAAAATAACTAAGAATAAATACTATTTTCAATCATAAGATAAATAATTAAAGTTAAGAGATTATTATAGGGTTAAAGCAGAAAAAAATTATTTATCTTCTTTAAAATAACAAAAATGACTATTATTCTGGAATAAATTCTAAATAAAAAAATATCAATTATTCTAGAACAAAGAGAGTATATTAATTTTTTTGTTAGAACATATCTACTAATAAGTATAAGACAAAATTTTAAAATAAAATAAAATAAACGTACAAAACTTGAAAGTTGAAACCCAATATGACAATATATGATTCATATAAAAAGAGATAGTGTTATTTTTAGTCTTTACCAAGAAGTTAGTAGTCCCTTTGGTAGTCCCTTTGTCTTCAAGCTTTTAATGACAAAAACAGTGCATCGGGCCACCAACGAAATCTCTTTTTTCTCTTTTTTCTATTTGTGAAGTTGTTGGTTTGAGGTTGATTGGTTGAAGAAGATTGGCACTAGGACAGTGGGGATGGATACTGGAGAAATAGCATAAAAGACATGAGAACCTATCTTCTTCTTTTTTTTTTTTTTACTTTTTCTACAAAATTCAGTTGTGGGCCTTAAGATTAGTGGTTTTTAAAAAATAATAAATAGTTAAATTGTTAAAATAAATAATGGATTATATAGATTATATTTGGGCTCTTAAAATAGCCTATTATTATTAGATATTTTAACAATTAAAAAGACAATATTTAAAATTTTAATAATAATAATTATTTATTTATTTATTTATTATTATTTTTTCAAATCCCAGGGGGGCACCACCCTCCGGTCTACATGTGGCTCTGCCCTTGGGCATATCTCTTGTTGCTTGCTCTCGGGCCTCTTCATCTTTATACCAGTTATCAATAGGATTCACATGCTAAGAAGAACTTGAATTCTATCAATAGAATGCATTAGTTCTATGCAAAGTAAGAACACACTAGGAAAATGGTGTCCTTTGGGAAAAAGCATGCCGTTTGAAAGTGTGCAAACCAGACCTTTGTTAGTTGAGAATCTAATTGATAAAGGAATGGAATCTTGAACCTGCAAATTACAATTGTTGGAACTATGGCATGAAAGCTGCAAATGCAATGAAATGAGGGTAGCTAAGTGATACTGCAACATGACTGTATAGTAGCAGCATGGAGTTGCTCATGGGCTACAAGTTATTATAGTACGTAGAACAATATTATTGTTTTATGTGTAGTCTTCCTAAGTAAAAAAGAAGGAAGAAATTAAATGAAAATTGAGTAAGAGAAAGCATGGTTTCTCCTCTCCAATTGGGTGAATGTCTGCACCCTTCCATGTTTATGTTCTATTCATGTTCAGGTTCTAAGTTCTCTCCTCTCCTAGTCTAGTCTTTCCTCTCTCCCTTAAAAGAAAACTTAACAACAACATGCACTCGTATTAGAGTCTTGTTAAAAGGAATTTGTACTCATTTAGCCAACAGTATGCATAAACTACAAGTGCTCAATGAATATTCAATAGGAAGCATTCTTGATCCTTGAAAGTACTCTTGTAAAAGATGTCAATCAAGACATTTATTGAAGACACTTAATGACTTCAATAATATTTTTCTCTTTCCCCTACTTATATCAGAGAAAGATGATGTTTCCTAAAAGTCTTCATTGCTTCAACCTACAAGAGAGGCTTCATGAAGGAAATTTTTTTTTTTTTTTTTAAAGAAGAGATTTCTAACACAATAAAGCTCAGGATTTAAGGAAATCTCAATAATGCATGATTGCCTTGTCACATCTCAATAATGCATAGTTTCCACATCTTTAATTTTCAAAATACATGGAATATTCCATGGAACTATAGAAGTAATGCATGGAGCAAAGTCCATGACCACAGGAAGGAGCCTCAAAGATCATCTCAATAAACGCATGGTTGCCACATCTTTAATGAAACATCAAGCCCACATAAATTATGGATTGACACAAAAATGCAAATCATGACCACAGGAAGAAGCCTCAAAGATAATCTCAATAAGTCTCAATAATTCAAGTTCTTTATTGAATAAAGACGCTGATAGAAGGAAAGCAATGTGCAATTTGTATACGAAAATACAAACCTCATACTCTTTAACACGGAATACTGGGTTGAACACTGAAAAGCACAACCACGAGCACACTCAGAACTCAAATATGCCCTAGCTACGTGGACTTTAACACAAAAATTGCATCTAATTTAAAATTAATTACTAATAGATAGAGTAGTTTTCTTTGTATTTAACTTATATACTTGTTTGTTAAATCCTTAATGTGAGATATTCCTCTCAACAAGGACAGTATGGCATCACAGGAATGTATGAAATTAGGACAGAGGTATCTTTGAAATAAGTTGCTATATACTACTGATCTGAAGACTCAAGTCACACAACTTCCAATTACCCAATGTGCTTGCTAGTTGCTATGTTTCAAACATTTCACTAATAATGGACAATAGGCAAAACCCAAGTGAGGATGTCTCAGATCTCAATTGGGTCCATCAATTTTTCTAGATCAACTCATTAATTCGACTATCTGTTCATCAATGATAAAGTTCACTTTAATGCCCTGTTTTTAGTTGCTTTCAATTCCAAAGTGCAAAGCTCTAAACTCAGAAGATTGAAGAGTAAAAAAAAAAGGAAGTAATTTCTTTATACCTCATTTCCTGACAAGGTACTTTCATGGCAAACGTTCAAAAAGGCCACTCAACACCTCTAACTTTGGTTTTTTCTTTTTTCATCTTTCTTTTCTAACATTTGATGGGAAATAAATAGCCATCTTCTTCGTCAAATCTCCTACCTTCCATATCATCTCAACGTTTGAATACTATAAGAGACGATGTTTTTCCTTGTACGAAAGAGAAACATTACATCAAAAGAAAAAAATTAAAATCAAAACATGAAATTTTAAATTCAAAGAGAAAAGGTTGAAGCCGTATACGGGTGATGATCAAGTGAACAAAGGAGGAGGAAGAGTGGCAATATTGGTTCCTCCTCTACTAAACAAAAGCCTCCAAGATTTCAGTTGCTTTAAGATCTTCTTGTGAACACGAACTCTGGCTGCACAAAAACTAACCACCTTTCTCTTCCTCAACTTCAACTTCCTCCCAATCTTCACCTTTAATCTACACAATCTAATACGGAGAAAAGATGGTTTTCTCCTGGAATCAGCCTGTTCCAGCACTTTGTAGATCAAGAACTGTGCTCGCCGGTGAATTTTCTCATCAGGGTCTTCATTATCCACCCTGGAATAAGCATATGTTCTCCGAGAACATAGAGCCATTTTCTCGAGAAAATCCGAAGAAAAATGTTGATTATGAAGATTAGAATGGAGAGAATTGGTACAGAGACAAGAAGTTGATATGGAATTGAGTCCATATTTATAGAGTTTAAATTCATAGTTAGTAAACGAAGGAGGCTGGTTTGGCTGGTTTGGTGATGAAGATATGCATGGGCAGTAATGTTTGGTCGGAAAATAATTGAGGAGAGAAAAATAGATTTTTTTAATTTGCAGGACTCACATCACAGTGTCAACTCAAAACTTACCTGCTTGGCTGCTCCCAAACAAGTCTTAAAAGGTATGCCATGTGCTTAAAAATTCAGGGGCATGCTACGCATGAGGTAATGTGAACAATAAAATTAAACATTAAGCCAAAAAGGAAAAAGAGAAAGGTTACATGATCTAATTTTGCATGATTCGAGATGGTTTTTATAATTGTTCTTTTTCTTCATGGTTTCCATGAATTTGCAGATTCCAGCTCCAGCACCAAACGAGTATGGCATAAAAAATAATAATAAGAAGAAGAAGAAGGAGAAGAAGAAGAAGAAGGAGAAGGAGAAGGAAAAACAGGGTGTTCTTTTTCTGGGGCCATGAGAGTTATAAAGTCAAAAGGAGGCTCACATGACGTTATACCATTGAAAAAAGGACCAAATTTTCCACCG